AGATAGGTAAATTTGCCTGCGCCATCATGGACCTTATCATCTCCAATAATGTTCCATTCCTCCTTTCTGCTACACCATTTTGTTGAGGTGTGTACGGAATAGTTAACTGTCCGGTAATTTCCTTTTCATTGCACAATTCTTCAAATTCTTTTGAAAGATATTCATGCCCTCTATCGGTTCTTAAGGTCTTAATCCTTTTGTCTAATTGATTCTCAACTTCATTCACATATTTCTTAAAGCATTCAAGTGCTTTAGATTTATGAGAGATCAAATAGACATAACCAAAGTGCGAAATCATCAATGAACGTAATGAAATATAAAGCACCAGACCTAGCCCTCACATTCATTGGACCACGGATACTAGAATGGTTAATTGCAATGAAAAATCAGCTCTCTTAGCCTTTTCAAATGGTTTACATGTAATCTTTCCGGCAAGACAATTTTCACAAGTTGGCATTTCAATTTTAGAGAAAGGACCTAGGTGTCCTTCCTTAGCCAATCTATTCATTCCATCCTTCCCTATGTGACCTAATCTTGCATGCCATGTAATAACATCAACATCATTGTTACTAGAATAACATGTCATAACACAACGGTCAACATAATAGTTATACGTAGAAGGATTACAATCTAACACAATAAAACCATCATAACGATGTCCAAAACCATAAAAAACATTGTCATAAGTAATTCTAAGACCACTGCGACTAAAGTTAAAATTGAAATCTAAATCTAGAAGAACAGACACAGATACTAAGTTTCGTCGTATCTCTGGAACATATAGGACGTCATGCAACATCAAAGATCGGCCACCACGCATGTCCATTCTGCAAGTGCCTATCCCTTTGACTTCAAGCTTTGCATTATTTCCCACATATACATGCTTTGATCCGGGTGGAACTCGACGAAACTCTATAAATGCTTCTCTATCACGGCTCACATGGTCGGTGGCCCCTGAGTCTACAATCCACACAGGATAAGATTCAATTAGTAAAACAGTGCTAGAAACATATATAGCACTAAGAGATGCGATTTGAAATTCTACCTTTTTCGGCTCAGTGCACTCACGAGCAAAATGCCCTGGGACTTGGCAATTGTAGCACTTCATCTTGCTCTTGTATTTTTTCTTGTAGAACCGTTTTCCTTTCTTGGAATTTGGCTTGTTTCTTTTCTTGGACGGTCCTTCTCCGGTCTCCTTACCCTTTCTGTCATTTTTTAGTTTCTCTTGCGCTTGAAGCTTGATCTCTTTGTACCACTTGATTTTTCCACAAAGGCATTAGGTACAGCTTTAGCAGCACCAAGCCGCTCGTCTTCAAGCTCCACATGACGGGCAACATCGGCAAAAGTTTTGATGCTATCATTGTGGGTCAAGTTAACCTTCAGATGTTCCCAATTATTGGGAAGAGACCGAATCACTGCCTGAACCTGCTGCTCATCAGAGAGAACATGGCCAACACTTTTGAGTTGAGAAATCATATTTGACATCACCCTTAGATGTTGCTTGACACCGTGATCATGACGTTTTTTGTACGTATCAAACTTGATTGTTAGTTGTCGAAGGCAAGTCACTGTCGTACTCCCATATGCCTCTCTTAAATGTGCCCACATGGCTTGAGCAGTAGGATATTGCTCACATTCGTGGATGAGATCATCAGCAACTGAACTTACAATAATTCCACGTGCAGTGGAATCTTTCTTTTTCCAAACATTGTAAGTTTCCAGATCCCTCCTGTGTTGGGCAGTGTTAGCCTCCTCTAGGTGACTCATAACATGGTTAATACTTTCAAGAGCATCTTGATCTTCGAGTACATACCACATCGTACGACTCGAGATATCGTAATTTTCACCATTCAGTTTGTCACCCTTGTTCAAGTCGACAATGATACTTTTTGATGCTATGTCTGTTATTAGAGACAATATTACAAGTTTAACTCATCAATATATACTTCAGTTAATTTATGCATGTGATTACACACTCAAGTAAATTAATTATAATATTAATTCTACATTTAATATAGAATCGAACGGTCACTACATTTCCATTCATCATCTATGTCTAAATATTTTTAATTAATATTACAATCACTTCTTAGTTTGTACTTTATTTTAAGTCTCAATCCATTACAAAAAATATAATAAACAATGTATGTAACTGGTGAGACAAATAACATAATATAAATTTCATTAAGATAAAACACATAATAACAATTTACATGTTTGCTAGGACATCCATATACCAATCGAACACTAACTCTTGCTCATATACGCTAAAAGGTACACTAGGCCAAACATCATAATAAATCTCAATTAAAATTTCACCCCAAGACTCTCGAAGAGAGTCCGCTAAAATAGCTAATGCTTCCCAATCAGTAATTTCTACGTAATTAGCCAATTCAGCTCTTTTTATCTTAAAAAGGTGTACATGTTCAGGAACGGAAACATCAGGGCCCATTTTAAATTCCTTAAACTCCCTAAATTTCTTTTCTCTTTCCCTTCGTTCATCCCTTCGATCCCTTAACTCATTTTGACTCGCCCTTGGGACTTTCCTGATTACTTCAGGCTCCGAGTCTGAATCATTATAGAAAAAAGTCTTGCGATGACGTACCCTTCTACGTTGTCCCCTTCCTTGACTTCGAGAACTCCCACTTGGAGTAATTCGAATTTGTTCTGTTCAGCCATATCTGAAATTGGACCAAGGAAACAATAAGAATGGCTGCAACCACTTAATGTGACAACATATGTCACAATAACTCGTAGAAGTATATCAATACAAGGGATAAGGGCTAAACTAATTTTCTATATTAAGTAGATAAAAAAAATCACTTTTCCAGTTTCAACAAGTGAAAGCATATTATGAGAACAGAATGCTTATGAACCAGAAACACAAATTTCACATGCCTAATTCAAAGTCAGAAAAGTCCCACAATTCACTATGTTGGCTGATATTTTTGCAAGAATCAGTAAACTTCAACTTGCATTCCCAACAGGTTTTGCCACTGTCAAAATCCATGTTGCATTTGCAATCTAACAAAGTTGGATTACTCGTTCGCCACGAAAACCAAGACTTAATTTTCTCAACCAAATCCAGTAGTGAATTATCATGTACTACCATAGACTGACAGTAACCCCACAATCAGATCACCACTTCTGCCTCAATTTGATCAAAGTTTATAACTTTTGTCCTAATTTGTTAACCGGAAACTATTAAACCCACAATAAAAATGGTGGGTTTTTTTTTTCTTTTCCTTTCTGCAAGTTACATATAGGTACTTTTATTAGGTAATTCAATGGTCTGATATTCCTTATTTGTTTTGCTTTGGCTTAATACTAAATACATGAAGAGCAACAATTGAATTACCATTAAATAACAATACTAGATGGTAGAAAAAATTAACGCCATTTTAGTACTCCTTTTTCAATTTTCTGAACCAAATCTGATATGAGATTTTGATAATGAACGGTTCAATAGATTTCCATTCGGGAGATAACTATTCGACTCTCGTTTCAGGACATTCTCGTGCAGAGTTTTTGATTTACAGCCATTTCGTCATACAATCTTTTTTTTAAAAATTGCTTTGGAACAAACAGCAAAAACAATGATTGGAGGCGAACTTTTTCAACAGAGTTTTCTATTATTCCATGTTTAAAGAAACAAGAAACAACGCTAGTTCTGATACCATTGTTAGATAATAACGAGGGGCGAGAAAAACGAATTGTGTACCTTATTGATGCAGCGGAAACCGTTGAACTCACCACCAAAAGAATTGACTCAAGTCGAACTTTGAATCACCAGGAAACAAAGCTTTATTCACAAACTAAAAGCCTTCCTTTATGTGTATGTGTATTTTTGTTGGGAGAAGAAGAGAAAATTTTTCACACGCATTGCTCTTTGATAGTTCCTATGTAGAACAGATATATAGAAGAGGAATAGGAAAAACTACGATGAAAACCACCACTCCACGTTCTCACATCTCTCAAAATAACGTGCGGTGGTTTTAGGAGTAATAAAATCTACGTTTGTAACCTCCTTAAATTTTATCTCTTTTAAAATGGGTCGGATCAGTCCACATGGCGCGACCCACGACCCAAACCTTATATCCAACAGTTACACATATTGACGGCTTTTTTTGGTGGGCGGCTATATAGTTGCACCACCCAACCCCCAAAAGGTTTTTTTTCACTTTTAGCCCGCACCAGAAATTATTTATATTCGGTAGTCAAAAAAGTATATGAAATTTAAAATAGTTTTTGTATATAATATATAGAATGTATATATACAAAAAGTATATTTTTTCTACTATTATTTTGAGAGCGGCTATACATTGATATTTTCCAAAAAAAAAAAACTTTTGTTGGCCTTGTACATGGATCGTTGTGCTCTCACAGACACCAAAAGAGTAAAATAGCACGGGCTAGCCAGTTTTCGGACTGGTCATTCAAAAATAGCCAGCATTTGCAAAGTTATTGAAAAATAGCCACTATTTTGCTGCAACACAGAAAGTTTCAACATAATATACTGGAGATCGGTGCATCTGTGTATGAACTTCCAGCATATTATGCTGGAACTCCAACACGCGAAAAGTTCCAGCATAATATACTAGAGATTGGAGCACCTGTGTATGAACTTCCAGCATATTATGCTGGACCGATATATTATACTAGAACTCCAGTATATTATGCTGGAAGTCCAGTATATTATACTGGAGTTCTAGTATGCTTATGCTGGAACTCTAGTATAATATACTGGAGTTGCAGTATATTATACTGGAATTCCAGTATATTATGCTGGAGTATTTTTCGGATTTTAAACAGTATTTTCATTCAGGTTTATCTTTACATAAAAAGTGGCTGAATTTCGATTACTTTTAAAATTGTGGCTATTTTTGAATGACCATTTGTAAATCCGGCTATTTTTTTATTTCCTCCTCCCCCCCCCCCCACCAAACCCCCCCCCCCCCCCCAAACAAAAGGAGGAGTCCAAATTTCGGCCCTCTAACTTTAATTTGAATTGACTCAGTTAATGTCAAATTAGGCCCAGTCGATTGAACGATCAACAGTCACACTCGGTTCGACGAACTCCTCCCGCTGGTTTTACTCCGGTAATACCAACCTGTAGGTTCTCTTCACTCTCTCTCTCTCACACACTTTCTCTCTCTAGGTGATTGCTTCTATATCGCTGAAAAAATTACCTAATTTAAGATGCTTTAAAATGGTTGATTACAACTTGTAGGTTATTTCAATCTGCTCGTGCTTGAAGAGAGCCTTAATTCAAATTAGTGCCAACGACGTTTAATTATTGTTAAATTTTCTGAATTATCCTCAAAAAGGGAATTGTTTTATATTTTCTGTAGTAATAACAGTCTAACTGTTGATATTTTGGATGGGGGCATAGTTGATCGAACGATTAACAGATCTCAATTTCTCACCATTTAAGTATTAATTGTTTGAAATAAATTAAATTAAAATCCGCGATAATCAATGCTCAGTTGAGATTCAGCATTACTGTGTCAACTTCGTCTGTCCGATTTTAGTGGTCTTAGTTTGACTGTGCACCTTTTTTTTTTGGTATTTTTGATTGTTAAATCAAAAGAAATAAGGTGCAAAGTCAAACAAAGATACTTTTTTTTTCTGACTCTGCACTATGATTAAGAGTGGAGTTGAAAATATGAATTGTTTAATATTCCTAATTGTGCAGAGAATATAGGTTTCATATTTTGTCTTTTGATTTTTTGAAGAATATGAGGAAAACCTGCATTACAAAGAGTAAAAAAAGAGTGATGTAACTTATCGGTACCTGGTAGGAGGAATCAGGTACCCGGTGGACTAGTGTGCGTACAAACTGGTCCAGACACTACTCTCATTAGAGAAATAGAGAGAGAGTGTGTGTCTGTGTGCTATGTGTTACAGTACTTTAAGTGAATTATGTTTTTGGAACTGACTAACAAGACTATCCCACATAATCTTTTATGATACATAGAAAGAGTGACATGAGAAAGTAATACAATAGTTATAACTATGCCTCAAGCCCAGACTAATTGGGGTCGGCTCGGCTATTTGATAAAAAGTTGACTAGTTTTAAGCTGGTTTGCGAACTATCTTAACCTCTTTTATACAGACTTGGAGGGGCAATATGAGCCTACATAGGGTAAAAAGCTTACACAAATAGAGTTCTCCATTAGAAAATAAATAGAGAAGAGAAGAAAAACACAACCTCTAATTTTTTTACCAAAGATCATTAATTATCAAAGAGTGAGCTATATTTTAAGTTAACTAATGACTATTTTGTTAACACTTTTCTATGTGGTTATGCTGTGTCTAATGCTTTACTGGAACTTATGGAGCTTTTCCATGTCTATGATTGAAGCCAACCTTGATTTGAAGCAAACTCTGTGTGGATGTTTGATCCATATGTAGCTATTGAAGATCATCTATTAAGTAAATGCTAGAAACATCAATAAAGAGCTGTGTCTTGGATGATACCATGAGTTAATTTGGTAACGTTGAGGGGATAGAAAGGAAACTTTGTTGAGAAAATGGGACCGTCGGAGAAGGAAATTTGCATAAAATGTGAGAAAGGTGGAGAAGTGTTGGCTTGTGCTGATATTTGTTGTCCTATAGCAGTTCATGTTAGGTGCATGGGTTGTCCAGCTAGATTTGATGATTCGGGGAAATTCTACTGCCCCTATTGTCTGTATAGGAAATCAGTTGCAAAATTTCATCAAGCAAAGGAGCATGTTTTGTCGAAAAAACAAGCTCTGCATACTTTCATAGATAAGGAAATGATAGACAATGTCAGAGAGGTGCCATCAATAGTGAGCAAATCAACATGTGAAAGAGCTGTTGAGCCATTACCAGAAAATAAAAGTGAGGTTCCTGGGCAGCAAATACATTCAGGCCCAGCTGTTGCTTGTGGTAGCAAACCTAGTGATCATACATCTTCTAAAGCAACAGCGACCGACTTTAGAGTTTTAGAAACTGGAAACGGGGTTCAAGTAAATGGTCTACAAGAAGTTGGTGAACAACTAGAGAGAAGTGTTCAAGATCACCACCAGGACAACCACTTAAGTAACTCATGTGTTGCTGAAGAGGAAAAATTGGAGAATGAACTTGTTTTGGATGAAACAAAAAGAAATTCTGTTGAAATTGCAGGAGAGCCCATGATAGGGGTTGATCAAACTACTGCAACCTTCTTGAATGCAGACCCTTTACTGCTGCAGCACTTGAAAGGTAAAAGAAGAGTTGAAACTGGGGATTCAAAATGTAGAGAATCTAAGCCTGTTTCAACACAACGTAGGTGTGGTAAACTGGTTAACAAAGTCAGAGATGAGCATATGGTCACCAACTCTCCAAGAAGGTTAACTAGGACATCAGCTTCTTTACTTGAGAATAGTAATCTAGCGGGCCAGTTAGTGCAAGTTAAACAGCCTTCCATGTTGTTGTAAGTGATTACTTCTCTGAAGTTTGAGCACATTATCCTCTTCATTTCTTCAATAATAGATGATTCAACTTTACTCTCTGCTGCAGACCAGTTGAGCTTCCAAATGGGAAACGTAAAAGAGTATTATGGCGTCACGAAGAGGAAGAGATGCTTGAGGTACATTTCCAGGAATCTCTATTGTATATGTTTGTTTCTGTTGGTTTGATCCAAAGATACGGTGTAAGTCATTCTTGCATTGATTGGAGCTCGAAAGGATGTGGCCTAGTGGTCAATGAAGTGGGTTGAGAACCTTGAGGTCTCAGGTTCAAATCCCAACGGAGGCAAAAACACTAGGTGATTTCTTCTTCCTATTTGTCCAAGCCTGGTGACAAAGTTACTCGGTACCTATGCTGGTGGAAGATAGCAGGTACCTCGTGGAATTAGTTGAGGTGTGCGCGAGCTGGTGCAGCTACCACGGTTATCAAAAAAAGAAAAAAGTCCTTCCATTGGACTGACATCTATATTTTGGACTTACTAGGTATTGACTTGATTAACTTTGATTTGGTAGTTGGGTAAAGTTCCTCGACTGAATTTTGATAATGCTATCCTCATACCAACGATTCTTCTTCCTTTTTTTTTTCTTCAAAATTTTAGCTTTTGCACCTCCGTCCTGTTAAGGAAATTTAACTTATTTAAGGTTAAATTGTAGAATCATATTTTTCGTGCAGCAAAGAAGGCTAGGCAGTAAAAGTTGTGATATCTTACAGACTTTGCAATTGAGTTGGCTTGTTGTGTGGGGTTATTACAACTGACCTTTTTTATAATTGCTTCAATGGCACTGGATAACTCAAATACATGCTCTGCATTCCTTACGTAAAGTTCTACTCATACAAGGGTCCATAAAAGACTTATGGGGAAAGTTATTGAAAAAGAATGAGCAAAATTTAGATATGTGGTTTCTCGTGGTTATTCTTGCGTATTGCAATAGTTACCCTCTTCTGCCAAGCTGCTTTGCCGCCACCTTTAAAACTAAAAGAAGAAAAAGGGAGATTGCAACTGAGTAGCGAAAGTAGCCAACAGGATGGGCAAAAATGAAGAAATTATGTTGATAATTCCTCCTTGGCTCTGTATAGGAGAATCTCGTATCATCAAATTCAGCACTTTCCAAGCTTTCCCTGTTTATCCCTACATTCCAAAAAAAATGTGCAGCCACCCGTATAGTAGATATAGGAGGAGAATAAAAGTCTGCTTATTGCAAAGGAAAGGAAAATTCCTCAATAATAACTTTCTCTCGTATTACAGAATTATTTATTGGACAAATATGTAAAAGAACAGTTTCATGGAGACAGATAATCCAATATCAAATGCTTGGTTACAAAGTAATGGAACACCATTGATGCATCTGTACATGCATATAATGCAGTTCATATTGTTAGTATCAATTGGCATCTCTAGAGATTTTGAGTTATTCATGAAAGCTCAAACAGGCTCTTGTGATGAGTCGAATGGTGGCAATATAAGTCTGGTATGCCTAAATACCAAATTGGTAGAGGCAGCTCCAATGATTATTTTCTGTGTGCAGTGTCAGGCAGTTATCTGCTTCATTCGAGTTCCTGACTTTATTATGCATGCTGTGGCTGCAGGAAGGAGTTAAACAATTCTCAACCACAGTAAACAAGAACATCCCATGGAGGAAAATTCTAGAACTTGGTCGTCATGTGTTTGATCAGACACGTAATCCAACTGATCTCAAGGACAAATGGAAACAAATCTGCTCTAAATATGGCGGGCAAGTTTGACCAGGAGTTCTTTGCTGAACTTGAAATGTGGAAAGCGTTTTTGGTATTCTGTGATATCCAGATTCAAATGTGTGATACATACCTTTTTCTCTTTTGTGGATAACTTCTTCATCAGCAAGCAGGTCAGTTTTGAGGGGTAAAAAGTTAGAATTAGTTTTGGTCTTATTTGTTAAGATGAACATAATGTTTTGATGGGGTTTACCCTGCGTTTTCTGGTCGATAGTCGAGGGAATGTGCAAATTTCCTTATAAATCAACAGCTTAGTGTACTCGATACTTGTATACAGTAGTAAAAGTACCAGATAGTTTTAGAGAGAGAATTTATGCTTGGTTGTTTTCCTGATCACCTTTTACTCTATGCTGCACCCACCCCACACCTTCGCCTTGTGGTCACCCAACAGGCAAATGGTAAAAAGAAATGATAAGTAGATGTGGTTGAACTCGTGAAGGAAGCTGGCTATTGCTTGAGGTAGTTTTCATTTTTATGGTGTTTCAGATATATGGACTTGGAAACCTGTGAATGCAGCCTTTTAAATTTCTCGATTCCTAAGCTTTACAGCTTGTTTGGATGGTTGTTCCCCGTTGTATCGTATTGTGTTGTTATCCCAAAACAATGTTTGTTTTGATTGTTTCATTAAAATTTGTATTGTATTGTTAAATCCATTGTTCCGGAACAATGAAAAGTCCCCTTTTTTGAAACAACCGATTTGGTGTGGTGGGATTGTTTTCTATTTTTTCTCTCAATTATGCCCTAACTTATTACTCCACAATTCTATTTCACCCTTTACCTTTTTTTCTATTTTGACTCCAAATCTCCAACCTATAACCTACTTGTTTTTTCCCAAAACTTCTGCCACCAACGTTAAAGGTGTTTAGCCGTCTTCTGTTTTAATTTTTCTCCTAGTTTGCTTTTAACTCAATTCTAATTAGCTGTGCTCTTTTGTTTTGACTTCTTCTGTCTTGCTCCTTTGTTATGCTTTCTTAAGGTGTTTTGCCTTCTTCTATTTTATTTTTTTAAATTATTTTTATGCATATTTTTAGTAAATTTAATATTTAAACAATTGAGGGTATTTTAGTCAACGTATTAGTTACAGTATAGTACGATACAGTCAAACCAACTAACAAAATATTATTTAACAATAACAAACGATACAATCTATCCAAACATAGTATTTATAAAATGATACGATACAATACGATACAATACAATACAATACATTATAAAACAACGGGGAACAATGATCCAAACAGAGACTTAGTAGGGCGACCAAGGCATATTTAGTTGTTTTGGTATAGCTTAGCTTATCCTGGAAGATTTTAAATTAATTAATGTTAAAGCTACTTTTTTTCTCTTTTATATTTTCCATTACATAGGAGTACTGGGGAAGTGGAAGGAATAGCAGGAATCGAACCAATACTTAATTGTGTGGGAGACTCTCGTACCACTAGACTATATGTCTACTTAGCTGTTTAACAAATCAACTTGACAATTGAACACTCTAATTTGTGATAGAAGCATAAGCATTTTGATTAAACAAATTTCTATTCTAGGCAGAAAGTAATGTGGAAGAGGTCCTTTTAGTATTATTATGACCTCTTTCTTATGAGTATTATTAAATGCATTTAGTAATGATAATTTTCTACTCATTTTATTCAATTAAATACAGTCAAATTTTGTATGTTACTGTATTCAAGTAATGCAAAAATACAAAATAAATCTTAGTAATTTTTTTGGTTGAAGTTATTGGTGACAAATTATTCAATTTAGAGCCAAAAAGTAATAATAGAAGCAATTGTATAAGGCTCCTAACAAATTAATAACACCAACAAAAGCGTCGGATGTGGACAAAGTAAAAAATAGACACTTTATTAATTTATTAACCAAAGTTGGAATTGCTTTTTCAAAATATATTCCTTTTAACTGTCATTATAATATTTTTCAAGTGAATGTAATTAATCTAGGCCTTTAAAGCTTAAATAGGACAATTGTCACACATAAATAACTTGACTAAATGGAGAGAATGTGCAACTAGGGGTGTACAAAGAAAACCGACAAACCGCACCAACCCGATAATCCGAATCAAACCGAGAAAAAAAACCCGACTATGGTTTGGTTTGATTTGGTTTGGTGTTGGAAAAAAAAACCCGACCATAATTGGTTTGGTTTGGTTTTAACTAAAGAAAATCAAACCGAAACCAAACCAACCCAATATTAAATATATAGAAATTTTAGATATATTTAATATATAAATATACTTATTGTGATGTAATTTATAGATATTTCTTAAAATATTTCATAATTTCATCTTTTAAGGTATTATTTCAAGGTAGGACTTAGAACTTTTGAATGTTCCAATAAGTTTTATATCCATTTATATTAGTAAATTAAATAATGCTAACAAAGCCAAAATCAAAATCAAATCAATACTAATGCTAGCAAAAGACATTCAATTCAATACTACGAACGGGAATGTATTGAATATCTATTTTTTGTTTTGCAATGATTTAGATAAAAATGCATCACCTATTTTTATTTTTTCTTTGGCGTTTAGTCATGTTATTAATACTCCCTTATAGCAATATTTATATTACATAATTTTGTTGTCTTTGTTGTTGAATATTTTAGGATAATGCCTGACACATCTCATATTTTGTATTATTTTCTTGAAAAATATTTTATATAGTTGTATCTTACTAGGATTAAAGAAATATTTTGAGCACAAGTTATATGCTTTGTTCTACGAAAATTTTATCGAAAAAAACCCGAAAACCCGAGAAAACCAGAGAAAAACCGAGATTGAAAAACCCGAATTTTATTGGTCTGGTTTGGTCTTTAAATTTAATAACCCGACACAATTGATTTGGTTTGGTAATTGTAAAATCCGAACCAACCCGACCTATGTACACCCCTATGTGCAACAACGAGAAGCCTGATCTCAATGAGTCATTGATACTGGACTATGTAACTAGGGATAACGCCTAATGCTTGTTATAATTTGATTTAATACAATTATTTTCTCCAAATCTCTTGTTATTGGAAGGGTAAGAACTTCTTTTTGTTAAGACTTTTTTTTTTTTTTTTGGTAAAAGCAGGATCAAATTGGTTGATAATTAAAGTCAAATTTTACCTAACAGATATTTTGAAGTGAAACGGACAATAGAAGAGAAAACAATCCTATTCCATGCAGGAGTAGAATTAAGCAACTCGTTTTCTAACAAGAACTGGCTTAATCAACTCCTATTCCACTCCGGATTTGGTTTGAGTTTACTTCCTCCTCTATATATACGTTAGACTACTTGCATTATTTTTCCATCCTCACAAATTCTCATTACATTCCAAAATCTCTCTTCCAAACAAATCCCATATTTCTGCATTCTTGGTAAAGAATGTCTCTGTTTCATTCATCAGCAAGTGTTATTTGTGCTGACTACTTTGGCGACGAACTGCCATTGCCTCTCCCAGCTGTTAAGATACTGGAAAATAAGAAGATGGATTCCAAAGATACAACAGCTGCTAAAATCTTGAATGTTGGTACAGCAACAGATAATGGCGCAGTTGGTCAAAGCAACAAGGGCAGAAACAATTATAAAGCACTCGGTTTCACTCCAGCCTTTGACGGCTTGCATCCTTTTGAGTTGTTTGTTTCTCGTTGATAATGTTTCTAGTTAAAAAAAGAATGTCCAAGAAACACTCTTCTGTTTTTTAAGTTTTGTTTTAAACATGCAGAAACTTGGGGTTTCAGAAGTTTTTCTCGCATTATTTTATGTTTTATATGTTGTCTCCAAAATCAAATTCTGCACTATTTCTTGTATGGCTATTCTAATGCATGAGTTAGTTTAATGGAACTTGGTGGTGAAAAGTAGTACTATTCGATTTTGCATTGTTCTACTCTACCTGCTTCAATTGCTCAAGTAAAATCAAGCAAAAAGGTTTTTTTTTTTTTTATTTGTTTTACTTTTTTAACATCAAAAAGGTAAGCGTTGAAGCAAACCGTGGGGGAAGGTTAGGTTCAATTAATACCCATAAATGTTTCTCCCAAAAGGATACGTTCAAAAACTGAAAGCTATTTATATATAACTATGTTAACTATGTTTCGAAAATAGTATTATATTTAAGTGAAAATAGTATAATAAAATTTAGGGGAGACGACGAGAAGATGCACACCCAGTTAGCCAAATAATAGGAAGAAAATTGAACGAAAACTATGGTGAGAAATAAGGGTATACATCAGTGGAAAGGGTTTCAGGGGCAAGATGGTCATTTTGAAATTTTTATGCTAGATTTAATTAATATCCTAAACCAAACATGGAACAAATTTAATCCCAAATTCTAAACCACCTCATCGCAGGAACGATACAACCCCCATAGTTTTGTGGTTTGGTTTAGTTTTATAAGACTAGCTCTATAGTCTAATTGAGCTAGCCGCGTATATATATACTAGCTTTAAGGTACACGCTTTGCGCGTGTATCTATATTAATGGGTATAAAATTTAAAAAATTAGATAAATATTAATAAATAATATAATTGAGTTATAAAATAAAAATTAAAAAAGTGTAAGTTCTTGAAAATAATTAATGTTTATCATGTTTAGCTGGATCAATAAAGAACTATTATAGGCATTCATAAAAGGACTCCAACTTTAATTTGTAGTATTTGAATATGTCGCCTATCTCTCAACTATAGTTTAAAGAGTAGATGATATCTCCAAATTCAAAATATTGACTTCGGTATTGATTTGGTGCCGGGCACGCAACCTATTTATATTCCACCGTATCGTATGGCACCGGCGAAGTTAAAGGAATTGAAGGAGCAGCTTCAGGAACTCCTTGATAAGGGGTTTATTCGGCCTAGTGTGTCACCTTGGGGTGCGCCTGTTCTATTTGTGAAGAAGAAGGATGGCACTATGAGAATGTGCATTGATTACAGGCAGTTGAACAAAGTCACAATCAAGAACAAGTATCATTTGCCTCGTATTGATGATTTATTTGACCAGCTTCAAGGAGCGAGGGTGTTCTCCACGATTGCTCTCAGGTCAGGGTATCACCAGTTGAAGATCAGGGACTCGGAAATTCTTAAGACAGCCTTCAGGACCCGATATGGTCATTATGAGTTCCTTGTGATGTCTTTTGGGCTGACCAATGCCCCAGCAGCGTTCATGCATTTGATGAACAGCGTGTTTCGGCCATATCTCGACTCGTTTGTTATTGTTGTTGATACCCAATTTTTCCCTATATAATTTTTATATACAAAATACTTTCAAAATAGCATATATATGCATACATAAGCATACCTANTATCAAATAGCTCGAACCATCCTTTGGCATCCTCTGGTTGAGCAAACATATCAGGGATATAATTCATTCGCTTTGGGTGATGGAAAGCGATATGATCGTCCCAGTCCCTTTGTTGAATCTCTTGCCGGTATTCACCCTTTTGTAGATGCTCCACGAGCCAAAGTTGAAGTAGCAAATTGCAGCCCTCGAAGTGAATAGCTCCCCGTTGACACTTTTCTAGGGCTTGGTATATTTCTGCGATGATCATGGGCATAATGTTGAATGGTTGCCCTCCAAT